TTCAAAGCACAGATGGCTGGTAAATGCTGGAGAGAAAAATTGTCTAGCACAACACAGTGAACCAACTTTCCCATCAACAGACCTAGCAATTGATTGAATATAATCTTTCCAATTCATGTAAGCAGAAAACCTTAGTTTGACAAGGAGCAATGAATCATCTCCTGGAAGCTAGCATTAGCCATGCTGATAGAAGGCAAAAAACATTCTCTTAGATGATTAAAAGAGTGCAGTTTCATTTTGGATGTATTAGAATTAACAAGCCATTTCTTACCCCAGTTAACAACAGACTGAATTTCATTTTTGAGATCAGCTGCCAATTTCACTGTATCGAACTGTTTAAGGCTAGCTATTAAAACATTACATAGTTATGTCATCAGCATAGAGAGCGAGATGAGAACTGATGCCACCAGGAAGGTCATTGATGAAAATGAGGAACAATGTAGGTCCAAGGATAGAGCTCTGGGGCGGGTACACCTGAATTAATGCAAAAAGATCTTTCATTTCACAATTTGGTAAGAAAGCCTGAATCAGTTCAAACATTCATCCAGAAATGCCATAAATTTTCAACTTGGGAAGAAGACCAGTATTCCAAAGCAACAGCCTAAGATTCACCATTCTTATCTGAAGTTTGATTAACACCTTCAGCAATAATTGTTAATACATCAGCATTTGACATTCAGGAGCCAAAGCCGTATTATTTATCTGTGAGATGCTAAACAAATTCACAGTTAAATAGAGCCTCTAGTACAAAAAAGGTAGAATACTAAAAGGCCATTAGAAGGATCAAACAGTTCAGCTGAGTTAAAGACTGGAACTAGGACTTTCAACAAGCATCAAGTCATTTATTGTAGAGTTTTAAGAGAATAAGAGCCAGCTCAGGAGCACATTTCTTAAGAACTATGGTAGAGATAGAATCAAGTCCACATGCTTTGTGAGGATCTATTTTAGAGATGATAGCAGAAATATAGGATGGATTTATATGCTTATCACTCAAAAGAGACTCATTTCTACATGGAAAGTCAGGCAAAGATACTCCAGATAAGTCGAAAGTAGAATTTTATGGTATCATTTTTAAAGCAGGATTATAGATTAAATATAACGACTTTATTCTTTCATACCAAATGATTGCAATGGTGATAATTATCAAATTCTATGTATGCTTTGCACTTTTTTATATGCATTTGGGATTAAGGTAACTGAACTTCAAGTAGAAAAATGTCTGAAATAAAAAAAAAACAGGCAATAATATAAATAAAGAACAGAAAATAGAGACCCAAAGAAGTTTGATTGAAAGCCAAAAGAAAAAAACATAAATAAAAGAAAAAAAGAAGATTTGCGAAAGATTGCTTTGTATACTGTGTATATCTATAAACACTCTCCAATATTGAGAACTCTTTCTCTAAAAATATACCAAATTTTAAACAATATATTCATGAAAGAAAAAAATATAAAACACTCCTATTTATATACACATATGAAATGCAGTGCCAAAAATTTTAAGACAGGTTCCCTATAAATTAGAGCTTCTATCCAAGGCTGGGTTTCAAATCTTATAAGAAGGAGTCCTCTATTCTTTTATATCACAATTTGTTTTTTGTTTACAAAATTGGATTCTTTCATTCTTCTTATATTCTTAATTTTTTGTTGATGGATATAACCTAAGAAATAAGTAAATAAACATTCCTCAAATTTGTGTAATTTTTGTAAACAGCTTGCATGACCCGTTGCAACCATCACTGCTTCTATTTTCACATACGGTGATCATGCATTGTGGCATAGAGTCTACTAGGTGCTAGAGTTATTGCATGGGTATATCTATACAGGTACATTCCAGTCCTGTTCATAATTGAAGTGTGTTTGTTGGGCGTGGCAGCATGGAATTTAGTGAGGCCTGCACTGTGTTGTGTACATGCTCAAAGGGGTTTAAATCTAGGGAAGAGAAAGTTAATGGAATTCATCTGAATGCTCCTGGAACCAATATTGTATTGCCTGTGATAAGTGGGACAGACCAAAAACAAAATCTTTAATTTTTTCTCATTTCAGTTTATATGTTAAGAAACTTAAGAAAATATATGTCAAAATATACTTGTTTGTTTTATTTCTTCATTTGTTTCAACCATTATCAAACCCTTTATCAAATATATATATATATATATATATATATATATATATATATATATATATATATATATATATTAAAATAAGGAGAAAGAACGGTAAGATTTATAATCCGGTGTTCTTATTAATTATTTTTATTTGCAAAAAACAGTGCTCAATACAATTCTGCAGGGCATAAATATTACATACATACATATTTATATTTGATATTTTAATAATAATTTTTAAATAATAAAGTAATTCTAATATATTTTTTGTGTTTTAAAAGAAGTATAGTCTATTAGAATTAGGAATAATATTTAAAAATTGTATTTTAATATGACATACTCATATTCAAACAACCCTTTTGGAAAAAAATCTTTATGTATACAATTACAAATTTAACAGCAAAACAAAAGTGCTGAAAAACTTTTTGTCATTGAAAAAAACATGGCATGTAAACAACGGATGTCATCATTTGTTGAACAGGCACCCCTACCCAACTTAACCTCATTTCGAAAGTAACTCATATTTTGATACAATAGTTGTCAGTGAAAATGAATACCCTACCACCCCTTGTCAAAATGATTGAATATCCCTATATCCTTAGCAACTAATATTAAGAATGTATGTACTTATAAAACTCAGTAAATTTCAAAATAAGTTATTCCAAAATTCACTTGAAAATGAAACAGTACGAGGGATTTTAATTTAATTCTATAATTAAATTTCATGTTTTTATTTTCTGTTTTTGAAATATGCTAGTTCCTGTGTAGTGATGGAAACATATTTTTAGTAAATTTATAATACACACACACAGACATATATATATATATATATATATATATATATATATATATAATAATTTCTAAGGAATTAATGGAATTTATTTTAATCTGACATTATTTCTTATTGCATCAAATGTTTTATTTTAGGAATACATTCATTTGAGTAGGCACACTGACTTTTTTCTTTTTTCACCAGTGTTAATTACATCTAACATCTTGTGTGTTTTGAGTATATATATATATATATATATATATATAATTGATTTATTTAAAATTATCTTGTATCTGTTTTTGTTGCATGAAAGATTTCCAAGTAACGACAAACTCGTGTATACGAGACACGGAAGTAAAAATCGCACTGTAGCTCGTGACATCACACATGACCACACTGCGTATACACAAGTTTGTCATTGCTTGGAAATCTTTCATGCAACAAAAATAGACTATCATTATTGTTTTGTCCATGTATTGGTTAATATATTAAAATGTAATTGTCATCTTTGATAATGGCTTATGTAAGCTGAAAGCTTAGATAGGATTAAAAAATATGTATCAATATGGTGTTTTTGTTTCATTTTCAATGATAATGTTATTAAGCTTATCAGACAATATGAAAGGAATTTACTTAAAATAAATAGACACAACTTTTTCTATATTATTTAATGAAACATGCATATATATATATATATATATATATATATATATATATATATATATATATATATATATATATATATATATATATATATATATATACTTTGACTCTCCTGTTGAATTCGATGTATGAAGGTCAAGCAGATCAGTTCCTAGGAAATCGACAGCCCAACAACAGCACATGAGATTTCATTATAGTTGTGAAGGTTTCATGCAGGACCATCCACACTTTTTGAAGGGCTGAATACAGAGATCTGGTGCACTACGTGCCACAAGGTCCCCAAATGAGCCTCTGCAGGTTTTGAATTCAGAGTTGTTGTTCTCCTAGACCAGTTGCCATCTAAGGCTATAGAACCCAGTCTGTCCTGTTATTTATCAATAGCTGGAGAGAGAAGAAGAGGATTCACACCATTCCTAAGGGTATTAGCATGTAAGTGAATGTAATGGATTCGACTGGAATTCGAACTCAGCTCTCCGATTCCTCCATGCAAGCCGCTATCCATTACCCCACCGTGCCTCCTCACATATACATATATGTAAAGACATAGAGATTGAATGCCCTGCTACAGAGCAATAATTTTTAATGTAGGCTATTCTCATATATAGTGGTGAGTTTTATGCCTCATGTGTATAATCTTGTGCCAAACTAAACCTAGCAATATCTATAAACACACAGAAATACTGATATATTAGATGACAGATCATGCTGAATATTAAACATAAATCTTTGACACTACAAAAAATAAATAAATAAACTTAAATTAGGAGAAAATGAAGAAAATCAAATTTTAAGATGCCAGAAAGTCAGAGACAAAAGTAGACACCCACATACAAAAAAAAGTAAAAACAAAAGAAAAAAAAGTAAAAACAAAGAAAAGAAAAAAAAAAACAAAAAGAAAAAATAAAAGAAAGAAAAAATACAAAGAAAAATAAAAGAACATGAGAAAAAAAAAAAAGAAAAGGAAAAGAAAATTATTGACAACAAAGTTGAAGAAGGAAATAAAGTAAAAGAAACACTCCAGGTAGAAACAGCAAGAATTAATAAAAATCAAATCAATCAGAGGATCAATAAACCAACTTTGATAAATAACGCAATAAAACATTATCTAAATGAGTAATATTTGAAAGTGAAAAGAAAGACTAAATTTGGAAGCAGAAAATAATTATCCAAATAAATGCATGAAGAAATTAATGATAAAAAAAAAAAATTAAAAGCAGTTTTATTAATTAAGCAAAAATGGAAATGGTATCTAGGTATGAAATTCTTGGCAAGTCTACGGATAGTAAATTTGTGTTTTTTACAAACACATGAGAACTAATTTACTCTGTTTGTAGTAAATTCATATTAAATAATTATTTTTGTCTAAGGTAAAAAGAAAACTAGTTCAGAACTGACATAGAGCAGAACTAAAAGACAAATGGGCAGAGAGTGAGAGAGAAGAGGTGAGTGAGAGGAAAGAATCAAAGAAAATTTGTGAAAAAAAGAAGCAGATACATATGCAGAAGTGGGAGTGAAAATTGATTTGTAAAAATGTTTTGCAAACATAAGGTGGGAAAAGAGAGAGAAAGAAAAAAAAAGTAACAAAATCTATAGAGATGAAGAAGGAAGAGAGGGAGAGTAAAAAAACACAAGAATGTGAGAGAGGAAGTGTTAAAATCTGAGAAGAAAAGTGTTAATAAAAAAAAACAAGACATAAATCTATTGAGAAACAGAGAGAAAAAAATTTAAAAGAGAGTAAGAAGAATGGAAAGAGTGAAAGACAGAAAATAAATGTGTTCAAAGAAACAAAAAAGAAAAAAATATCAAGAGACAAATAAACAGAAAAAGGAGAAAGTAAGATGGGAAGAAAGAGAGGGGGGAATTGTGTACAAAGAAATAAAGAAGAAAAAAAGATTGAAGATATATAGAAAAGGATAAAGAAATAAAGAAGAAAAAGATTAAATATATATAGAAAAGGAGAAAGAAATAAAGATTGAAGATGTATAGAAAAGGAGAAAAAATTAAAGATATATATAGAAAGAAGATTGAACATATATAGAAAAAGAAAAAAGAAGATTGAACATATATAGAAAAGGAGAAAGAAAGAAGATTGAACATATATAGAAAAGGAGAAAGAAAGAAATTGAACAAAAAAGAAGATTGAAATATATATAGAAAAAGAAAGAAAGAAAGAACAAATAGAAAAAAAGAAAGAAAAGAAGATTGAACATATATAGAAAAGGAGAAAGAAAGAAGATTGAAGATATAGAAAAGGAGAAAGAAAGAAAGATTGAACATATATAGAAAAGGAGAAAGAAAGAAGATTGAACATATATAGAAAAGGAAAAGGAAGATTGAACATATATAGAAAAGGAAAAAATAAAATTGAAGATATATAGAAAAGGAGAAAAGAAAGAAGATTGAACATATATAGAAAAGGAGAAAGAAAGAAGATTGAAATAGAAAGAAGAGAAAGAAAGAAGATTGAACATATATAGAAAAGGAGAAAGAAAGAAGATTGAACATATATAGAAAGGAGAAAAAAGAAGATTGAACATATATAGAAAAGGAGAAAGAAAGAAGATTGATAATATATATAGAAAGAAAAAAAGGAGAAAAAGAAAAGAAGATTGAAGATATATAGAAAAGGAGAAAGAAAGAAGATATGAAAATAGAGAAAGGAGAAAGAAAGAAGATTGAAATATATAGAAAAGGAGAAAGAAAGAAGATTGAACATATATATAGAAAAGGAGAAAGAAAGAAGATTGAACATATATAGAAAAGGAGAAAAGAAAAAGATTGAAACATATATAGAAAAAGGAGAAAGAAAGAAGATTGAAGATATATAGAAAAGGAGAAAGAAAGAAGATTGAAGATATATAGAAAAGGAGAAAGAAAGAAGATTGAACATATATAGAAAAGGAGAAAGAAAGAAGATTGAACATATATAGAAAAGGAGAAAGAAAGAAGATTGAACATATATAGAAAAGGAGAAAGAAAGAAGATTGAACATATATAGAAAAGGAGAAAGAAAGAAAGATTGAAACATATATAGAAAAGGAGAAAGAAAGAACATATATAAAAAAGAAAAGAAGATTGAAGATATATAGAAAAGGAGAAAGAAAGAAGATTGAAGATATATAGAAAAGGAGAAAGAAAGAAGATTGAAGATATATAGAAAAGGAGAAAGAAAGAAGATTGAAGATATATAGAAAAGGAGAAAGAAAGAAGATTGAAGATATATAGAAAAGGAGAAAGAAAGAAGATTGAACATATATAGAAAAGGAGAAAGAAAGAAGATTGAACATATATAGAAAAGGAGAAAGAAAAGAAGATTGAAGATATATAGAAAAGGAGAAAGAAAGAAGATTGAACATATAGAAAAGGAGAAAGAAAGAAGAAGATATATAGAAAAGGAGAAAGAAAGAAGATTGAAGATATATAGAAAAGGAGAAAGAAAAGAAGATTGAAGATATATAGAAAAGGAAAAGAAAGAAGATTGAAGATATATAGAAAAGGAGAAAGAAAGAAGATTGAACATATATAGAAAAGGAGAAAGAAAGAAGATTGAACATATAGAAAAGGAGAAAGAAAAGAAGATTGAAGATATATAGAAAGAAAGAAGATTGAACATATATAGAAAAGGAGAAAGAAAGAAGATTGAAGATATATAGAAAAGGAGAAAAAGAAAGAAGATTGAAGATATATAGAAAAAGGAGAAAGAAAGAAGATTGAACATATATAGAAAAAGAAGAGAAAGAAAAGAAGATTGAAAGATATATTGAAAAGGAGAAAGGAAAGAAGATTGAAGATATATAGAAAAGGAGAAAGAAAGAAGATTGAACATATATAGAAAAGGAGAAGAAAGAAGATTGAAATATATATAGAAAGGAGAAAGAAAGAAGATTGAAGATATATAGAAAAGGAGAAAGAAAGAAGATTGAAGATATATAGAAAAGGAGAAAGAAAGAAGATTGAACATATATAGAAAAAGGAGAAAGAAAGAAGATTGAACATATATAGAAAAGGAGAAAGAAAGAAGATTGAAGATATATAGAAAAGGAAAAGAAAGAAAGAAAGAAAAGGAGAAAGATATAGAGAAAAGGAGAAAAAGAAAGAAAGAAGATTGAAGATATATAGAAAAAGAAAGAAAAGAAGATAAAGAAAAGAAATTGAAGATATATAGAAAAGGAGAAAAAAGAAGATTGAAGATATATAGAAAAGGAGAAAGAAAGAAGAAAGATATATAGAAAAGGAGAAAGAAAGAAGATTGAAGATATATAGAAAAAGGAGAAAGAAAGAAGATTGAAGATATATAGAAAAAGGAGAAAGAAAGAAGATTGAAGATATATAGAAAAGGAGAAAGAAAGAAGATTGAAGATATATAGAAAAGGAGAAAGAAAGAAGATTGAAGATATATAGAAAAAAAGGAGAAAGAAAGAAGATTGAAGAATATATAGAAAAGGAGAAAGAAAGAAGATTGAACATATATAGAAAAGGAGAAAGAAAGAAGATTGAAGATATATAGAAAAGGAGAAAGAAAGAAGATTGAAGATATATAGAAAAGGAGAAAGAAAGAAGATTGAAGATATATAGAAAAGGAGAAAGAAAGAAGATTGAACATATATAGAAAAGGAGAAAGAAAGAAGATTGAAGATATATAGAAAAGGAGAAAGAAAGAAGATTGAAGATATATAGAAAAGGAGAAAGAAAGAAGATTGAAGATATATAGAAAAGGAGAAAGAAAGAAGATTGAAGATATATAGAAAAGGAGAAAGAAAGAAGAAAGAAGATTGAAGATATATAGAAAAGGAGAAAGAAAGAAGATTGAAGATATATAGAAAAGGAGAAAGAAAGAAGATTGAAGATATATAGAAAAGGAGAAAGAAAGAAGATTGAAGATATATAGAAAAGGAGAAAGAAAGAAGATTGAACATATATAGAAAAGGAGAAAGAAAGAAGAAAGAAGATTGAAGATATATAGAAAAAGGAGAAAGAAAAAGAAGATTGAAGATATATAGAAAAGGAGAAAGAAAGAAGATTGAAGATATATAGAAAAGGAGAAAGAAAGAAGATTGAAGATATATAGAAAAGGAGAAAGAAAGAAGATTGAAGATATATAGAAAAGGAGAAAGAAAGAAGATTGAAGATATATAGAAAAGGAGAAAGAAAGAAGATTGAAGATATATAGAAAAGGAGAAAAGAAAGAAGATTGAAAATATAAAGAAAAAGGAAGAAAGAAAGAAAGAAGATTGAAGATATATAGAAAAGGAGAAAGAAAAGAAGATTGAACATATATAGAAAAGGAGAAAGAAAGAAGATTGATATATAGAAAGGAGAAAGAAAAAGAAAGAAGATTGAAGATATATAGAAAAGGAAAAAGAAAGAAGATTGAAGATATAAGAAAAAGGAGAAAGAAAGAAGATTGAAGATATATAGAAAAGGAGAAAGAAAGAAGATTATAGAAAAGGAGAAAGAAAGAAGATTATATAGAAAAGGAGAAAGAAAGAAGATTGAAGATATATAGAAAAGGAGAAAGAAAGAAGATTGAAGATATATAGAAAAGGAGAAAGAAAGAAGATTGAAGATATATAGAAAAGGAGAAAGAAAGAAGATTGAAGATATATAGAAAAGGAGAAAGAAAGAAGATTGAAGATAAATAGAAAGAAAGAAGAAAATATATAGAAAAGGGAGAAAGAAAGAAGAAGAAGATATATAGAAAAGGAGAAAGAAAAAGAAGATTGAAGATATATAGAAAAGGAGAAAGAAAAAGATTGAAGATATGAAGATATATAGAAAAGGAGAAAGAAAGAAGATTGAAGATATATAGAAAAAGGAGAAAGAAAGAAGATTGAAGATATATAGAAAAGGAGAAAGAAAGAAGATTGAAAATATATAGAAAAGGAGAAAGAAAGAAGATTGAAGATATATAGAAAAGGAGAAAGAAAGAAGATTGAAGATATATAGAAAAAGGAGAAAAGAAAGAAGATTGAAGATATATAGAAAAGGAGAAAGAAAGAAGATTGAAATATATAGAAAAGGAGAAAGAAAGAAGATTGAAGATATATAGAAAAGGAGAAAGAAAGAAGATTGAAGAAAAGGAGAAAGAAAGAAGATTGAAGATATATAGAAAAGGAGAAAGAAAGAAGATTGAAGATATAGAAAAGGAGAAAAGAAAGAAGATTGAAGATATAAGAAAGGAGAAAGAAAGAAGATTGATATATAGAAAAGGAGAAAGAAAGAAGATTGAAGATATATAGAAAAGGAGAAAAGAAAGAAGATTGAAGATATATAAAAAAGGAAAGAAAAAGATTGAAGATATATAGAAAAGGAGAAAAAAGAAGATTGAAATATAATAGAAAAAAGAAAGAAAGAAAGAAAGAGAAAAGGAGAAAGATATATAGAAAAGGAGAAAAGAAAGAAGATTGAAGATATATAGAAAAGGAGAAAGAAAGAAGATTGAAGATATATAAAAAGAAAAGGAAGATATAGAAAAAGAAAGAAAAGATTGAAGATATATAGAAAAGGAGAAAGAAAGAAGATTGAAGATATATAGAAAAGGAGAAAGAAAAGAAGATTGAAACATATATAGAAAAGGAAAAGAAAGAAGATTGAAGATATATAGAAAAGGAGAAGAAAAGAAGATTGAAGATATAGAAAAGGAAAAGAAAGAAGATTGAACATATATAGAAAGAAAAAGATTGAAGATATATAGAAAAGGAGAAAGAAAGAAGATTGAAGATATATAGAAAAGGAGAAAGAAAGAAGAAGATATAGAAAAGGAGAAAGAAAAAGATTGAAGATATATAGAAAAGGGAGAAAGAAAGAAGATTGAAGATATATAGATAGAAAAGGAGAAAGAAAGAAGATTGAAGATATATAGAAAAGGAGAAAGAAAGAAGATTGAAGATATATAAAAGGAGAAAAAGATTGAAGATATATATAGAAAAAGAAAGAAAAGAAGATTGAAGATATATAGAAAAGGAGAAAGAAAGAAAAGAAGATTGAAGATATATAGAAAAGGATAAATAAAAAGATTGGATATATAGAAAAGGAGAAAGAAAGAAGATTGAAGATATATAGAAAAGGAAAAGAAAGAAGATTGAATATATAGAAAAGAGAAAGAAAGAAGATTGAAGATATATAGAAAAGGAGAAAGAAAGAAAGAAAAAGAAAGAAAGAAGATTGAAGATATATAGAAAAGGAGAAAGAAAGAAGATTGAAGATATATAGAAAAGGAGAAAGAAAGAAGATTGAAGATATATAGAAAAGGAGAAAGAAAGAAAATTGAAGATATATAGAAAAGGAGAAAGAAAGAAGATTGAAGATATATAGAAAAGGAGAAAGAAAGAAGATTGAAGATTGATATATAAGGAGAAAGAAAGAAGAAAGATTGAAGATATATAGAAAAGAAAGAAAGAAGATTGAATATATATAAAGGAAAAGAAAGAAGAAAGAAGATTGAAGATATATATATAGAAAAAAGGAGAAAAGAAAGAAGAAAGATATATAGAAAAGGAGAAAGAAAGAAGAAAGAAGATTGAAGATATAGAAAAGGAAAGAAAGAAAAAGATAAAGAAAAGAAAAAGAAACATATATAGAAAAAGGAGAAAGAAAGAAGAAAGAAGATTGAAGATATATAGAAAGAAAAAAAAGATTGAAGATATATAGAAAAGGAGAAAAGAAAGAAGATTGAAGATAAAGAAAAGGAGAAAGAAGATTGAAGATATATAGAAAAGAAAGAAAGAAAGAAGATTGAAGATTGAAGATATATAGAAAAGGAGAAAAAAAAAGAAAAAGATTGAAGATATATAGAAAAGGAGAAAAGAAGAAGAAAGAAGATTGAAGATATATAGAAAAGGAGAAAGAAAAAGAAAAAAAGATTGAAGATATATAGAAATAGAGAAAGAAAGAAGATTGAAGATATATAGAAAAGGAGAAAGAAAGAAGATATATATAGAAAAGGAGAAAGAAAGAAGAAAGAAGATATATAGAAAAAGGAGAAAGAAAGAAGAAAAAGATTGAAGATATATAGAAAAAAGAAAGATATATAGAAAAGGAGAAAGAAAGAAAAAAGATATATAGAAAAGGAGAAAGAAAGAAGAAAAAGATTGAAGATATATAGAAAAGGAGAAAGAAAGAAGAAAAAGATTGAAGATATATAGAAAAGGAGAAAGAAATAGGGGGGAAATGTGTTCAAAGAAATAAAAACAAAAAAAAATGTGTGAAGAAAAAGTTATAGAAAAGATATAAATTTGGGAGAAATAGAGTAAAAAAAAAAAGAAAGCGATTAAGGAAAAAGAGAAATAGATATAAACAGAGGAAACTTCTTCTGGACTATTGAGTACTGTACAATTTTGACCCTGAATGAAATTAATGTAGAAATAGAATGAAAATAAATACAACATAAAAGAAAGAAAAATAGGAGAAAAAAAAAAGATTAGTTCAAAGAATGAATAAGAGAATCAGATATACCAGAAATGGTGTTGAGTGGTTGACAACTTTGAATTTCAAATCTATCTGCATATTGATAAAAGGGTGTATAACTTAACAATTTTCAGAAAACTAAACTTATTTTAAAAATTAGCAAAAATTTTACAAATCTGGGGAAAATAAAATTGTTTCTTTTAAATGCTACTTGTGGCTTACATGAGTAAAATTAGGGGAATTTTCAAATCTGTGTAAGACTACAGAAAAGACAATAAAGAATTTGGTAAGGAGAAGTAAGAATTATAAAGCACAAGCAGAATAGAAAGGAATTATGTAAAACAAAATAAAAATATTTAATAAGAACAATATAGTTAAGGTAAGCAAATATTTATATAGGTATTTTTTTTATCTCTCTCTCTCTCTCACTTTCATACAGGAAACATGGAGTTTTGAATTTGAAATGTAGCATTCCAAAATCAGAGATTTTTGATAAAATCCAAAGAAGAATCTGCAATATCATTGGTTCTGACCTGGCATCTCAGCTTCAGTCACTTTCCACTGCTGTAATGTAGCTTCCCTGTGCCTTTTCTATAAATATTTTCATAGCAATTATTCTGTTAAGCTTTTCTCTATAGTACCTAGACCCTGTCTATGAATTTAAGCACAATACTAGACTGACAACAAGATCTCATTTTACAGCTAAAATGGTGAGATATCAATGTAAATTCTATGCTAACAGTTTCTTTTCTTGCATTTCTTGCTTGTGAATTTCTCTTCCAGCTTCTTGCTTTCCAGTCAACTCTGATCTTCAAAAATTTAAATGCAATGTCAGTCATTATCTTCTGTCTTCTTCATTTCTGTTCTTTTATTGGTCTTTCTCTTTGATAATACTTTCCTTTTTCTTATATTCTTTCACACTCAGTGAATTAGTGGCTCTGTTGCCTTTCTTGCAATGAAAAAAAAAATGTATACAACAATTCTATGCTCATTCAAAGACACCCACACACACTCTCTCTCTCTCTATATATATATACACACACAAGTATATGACAAGTTCTCAGTTTGTTTAAACATGAAATCAATCCCCAAAAGTTTCTCAAGTTTAGCCATTTGAGAAGTGGATGACAGACTGATGTTTTCAACACACACACACACACACACACACACACATATATATATATATATATATATATATATATATATATATATGTGCGTGTGTGTGATTGTCAAGGAAAATATGGATATGAACACATATTCATATGCATGCATAATCGTATAGCCTAATCTAATTATAATTCATTTTTATTTTAATTATTTTTATCTTTATGTGTGTGTGTGTGTGTATATATGTATGTTTGAAGTGAAGTAGTGGAAAGAGGCCAGGCATAAATGAAAAGACAAAAAGAGAGAGAAAAGTTCAAATATGTTGAGAGAGAGAGAGATAAGTAAAGGTAATGGCTGTGATCAAACCAATAAAAGGGAAATTTACAGTTCATAAGCTCAGCAAGTAAAGTTGGAGTTGGGGAGAGAAAAGTGTATATTGGGGTGAGACAGAATCAAAAGTAAATATTATATAGAAAGACAAATACAGGTGCAGACAAAGTAAGAAAAAGACTGTGAGAAAGAAAGAAAGAAAAACAAGTTTGTTTGGAAGGTCAGGACAGAAACACTGCAAGAGAGAGTGGGCCTTAGAAAAAAGTGAAAGATTTATATAGAAATATTGAGAAGAAAAAGGATCAATGATATATATATATATATATATATATATATATATATATAAAATGAGAGATTTATTTATATATATATATATATATATAAATGAGATTTATTTATATATATATATATATATATATATATATAAAATGGGAGATTTATATATATATATATATATATATATATATATATATAATAAATATTTATATATATATATATATATATATAATGAGAGTTTTATATATATATATATATATATATATATATATATATATATATATAAATAAATGGGAGTTTAAATTTATATATATATATATATATATATATATATATATATGTTAAAGAGTGAAAAAAATAAGAAACAAGATTTATGAGATGAAATCTTGAAGAAGCAATGATCGAGAATGTTTGGAAAAGTGAAAGCGGTAAAGACAGAGAAAACTTCCCATCAGGAAAGAAAAGAGAGTTAAAAAAGAAAGAAAAAAAAAAGAGAGAAAAAATTATTAAGAGAGATAAAATAAAGGAAATATAGAGAAAAGGAGAAAAAAAATAAAATAAAAAAGGAAGATCTTCTAAAGAAAGAGAGTAAGAGGCAACATACTGAAGAGAAAATAAAGAAACTAAACACATAAAGAAAGAGAGGAAGGAGAATAAAAGAGAAAGTGTTTGATAGTAAGAGAGGGAAACATACAGAAAGTAAATGGAAAGAAATAAAAAATAATGGTTTGGAGAGGAACAGCACTTAGAAAGAGAAATATGCAGAAAGTGATAGAGATAAGAGGAAAAGAGAAATGTACTTGGGAATGATACAATTTCAGTATTTTTTCAGCTCAGCAGACAAGTCATAAGACAAACAAAAAAGTCGTCATGCATCAGTGTGATACTGTATTTTTGCAGCCTGTTCAAATATTTATCTTTTTATTCATCCTGGCTCTGGCAAAAGAACGAACTGAGCCTTCAAAGCTGCTGATGGAGATCTCAGAAGTACTAAACTGATAACAAACTAATCAGTTTGGATGAAAAAAACTTTCCAAAGAACTGATAAGTAATGACTGCAATTAGTGTCACCTATCAAGTTTTTTGGTGTTTTTTTTTTTTTTGGTAAAGTCAAAACTGTATGAAAAAAAACTATTGTACATTCTATGCATATACACATGCATATATATACATGCATGTGCAAACATCTGTCAGTTAGCATACACATGCACACACCTTTATATAATTATGTATACAGTGTGATAATTACATGTGTTTATGATGTACAATAGGACATGACCATTTGTCGAATTACCAACAGTAGTTTCTGTTATCAACCAACAAGCCACTTGTACACTCAACTTTTAGTAAATTAAAAGTACTTTGCAAAAAATAATTCAAAAGAAGAAAACATAAGAAAAAGAAGTTTTGAATAATCATATTATTTTGAAAATATATGTAAAACTTAATCAATTTAAATGCTATCCTCAAAAGCTGAATCATCAAATCCTGAGGAGAAAATTTTAAATTGATAAAAAATATGTTTAATTCATTAATTATTTTTGTCTAATTCGTTTTTATAATTACTGTGATGTGCAAGTCAAATATATTCCTTAGTATGAGGGAGATGCATCTCCTCTGTCAATGAATGACAGGATGCATTATAATTTTTTTAAGATATAAATTTTGTACTATTTTCTTTCCAGCCAAAACAAAAGACTAATAATTCTTTTTAATATTTAAATTAAGTATGATTTAAAATAGATGTCAATATAGTGAAATACTTGCTATCATCTGTGAATTTTACCAACTAAGGATGGTGGAAATTCTTGCAACTTATCTACTGTATATATAAATTTAAGATAATAGCAACTAAGGAAATATGTGAATGGGATATGCACACATAAAATATGTTTTTTCTTACTCAAAATATTTTGTTTCATCTGCATCATTCTCAAAAATAATTAACATGAATATTTTATATATATTTACTTGGCTTACCATAATATGGTACAAAGCCAGACATTATGGTAAGGTGCTAAAAAGTTCTTGGCTCAACCCACTTTTACAAAATCAGTATTTTGATGTTTGATTTTTGGACACTTGCAAGATCAGCTTTTTTTTTTTATAATAATTTGAAAAGAGTAAATACTTCTGAGATTGGTTAAGAAAAAAAACAAAACTTTTTAAATATTTTAGCCATATCATGTTGAAACACCTAATCTCATATGATCGCTGAAGTTAAGCAACATCAAGCTGGGTCAGCAATTAGGAGAGTGACAGAATGAGAACATCAGATGCTATAAGCTTGGATGTGTGGGTGGTGTAATGAATAATGACCCAGAATTAGAAATCAAAGAGCCAAGTTTCACTTCCCATTGAGTTCATTATATTAATTTATGCGCAAATTCCCTAGGGAAAGTTATGAATCCACCTCTTCTCCCTCCTAGCTATGGGTTAATTAGTAAGACTTGATAAGCTGTAAAAAACAAATCAATCATCCACTGATGTTCTTCGACTAGTGAAATCATCTTAGTTGCTATTGTACCAATTCAACATTGCTGCTATACTAACAAAAACTAAGATGAGATCATTAAGCATATCAGTTTATAATAATTTCTCATCTCAAAAATTCAGACAAAAAATGACATAAATTCTGTTATCATTGAAAAAGTAAGTAGAATTTGCATGGGAGTCGCAAATATTGGAGCAGAAAGTAGAATTCCAGGCTATTCTGTTGCATTGACTTCCAAAATTTAGGAAAAACGTGAATCAGTCTCTTCCTCCCAACTAGTCTCGGGTAGCAACCAGTTTAAGAGAAGAAAAAAATCCTCTAAATTCGAAACTGTGGAGAAGGCAATGGAAACCACTCCATTAGTTTTACCATAAATGCATGACAATTCACTGATAATAAAAATCTGTGGAGAGTCATGATCACCTATGTCCAGAAAGGACATGGTATTAAAAAAAGGAAAAAAGTAGAATCCATTATAACTGGAGTTTATTTATCACGTAAATAAGATAACATTTTATTTTGATCAGAATGCTAGAATGGTTTCAAAATTTTTTTGACAAAAATTTCCTGCAAGATATTTTATGTTTTGAAATGAAAGATTGATTTTGAATGTCATTTTCTTGATCATTTTTAACCAGAAGGCTTACACACACATATATATATATATATATATATATATATATATATATGTGTGTGTGTGTGTATACAGTTGTTAATATCTAGTTATTTCATTTACCTAACCATATATATATATATATATATATATATATATATATATATATATATATATATATATATAATTTTGATTGATTTCAGATATAAAACAAGTCTTTTAATTTGTAAATAAATTTTAATTTTATTCATTCAAAAGTAAATTTTACTTCAAAGATCAGAGTGAATCAAAATATCACATTTCAGATTTGTAAGATTAATTAATTAAGTAATTACACACACACACACACACATATATATATATATATATATATATATATATATATATATATATATGTGCGTGTGCATTTGTGTGTAGCATATTGTCAATCGAGCATGTTTAGTTGAATAATGTAGATATCTTATGACTTAACAATTCACTCCTGGAGATGATCTTGGATAAGATTGAAAGTACTTGGAAAATAAAAGAAATAACAAAAACTATGGTGTCTTTCTTAATCAGTTTAATAAAAACACTAAGAAAGTGAGTTGTGAACTTGGGAAAATTAAAATAAAAATAGATATAATATGTATAGATTATTCAACCACACACACACACACATATATATATATATATACAAGCGTACGTGTGTGTGATTGAGTGTGTGTGTATATATATATATATATATATATATATATATATATAAAGAATTAATGGATTTATTTTTAATCAGGCATTCAAAAATTATTTTAGTGGATACCAGTATTTGAAATAGATGCTCTAATTTTCTCCTACAAAGAAGGGTAGGGGGGGAGGTTTGAAGCCTGCCAAACAACATTTCCTTTATTAAGATTTCTCCAGTGAGTGTGCATGATAATAGATGTAAATGTATGATTTGGACACATCAGAATCAAGCAAATACAGAAGTTTTAACTATCTTAGAAGTATTATAACTGATGATTGAAGATGTGACACCAAAATTCAAAGGATCATTGGAATAGTGAAAGATGCCTATCAAAAGCTAAGCAAAGTAATGAGAAATAGGAAAATTTTCTTATAAAAATCACAAAAATAAACAATGCTATATAATATCAATCCCACTATATATCAGTGAATGTTGGACAATTTCCTCACAGATGACAACAGAAATATAGTTTTACAGAAGCATGATGTAAATACTGTGGTTGAAACATGTGAGCAACTAGGAAATTAAAGGAAAATAAGAGCAACTGTTAGAAAGCAATAGCTGAAACATCTGGGGCACAAAATGAAGAAAGAGAGCTTGGAGAATCTGACACTCACATGATATATGGAATCCCAGAAGGGCAAGGGAAACAGCTAGTAGTCTACCTAATTTGTTTGTGTAAATGGATGGCAGAACATGCAGTGTGTGTGAGTGTAATGAGAGAAATATTGCTGCCAGCTATAAAGGATAAGACGTTATGGGGAGCCATGATCTTCCACACCCTGTAGAGATATGACAGAAGGAGTCAAGATGACTGGCAATGGGACAAAGAGTTAGTATAAAACTGACATAACTGAATCTTGAACACATTCACTTCATTTGCCAGTTTGTAAATCCTGCAGCTGATTACAGGTAAAAAAAAAAATAATTATTTTGCTGGCATTTAAGAGTTAAATTTATTTTCATATGTAAATAAATGGCCACATGTTCATTTGTATATGTTCAGATGTTAATTGGTTGAATGAAATAAGTACGTTCGCCCATTTTGGCATTATTTTTTGTACTTACTTTCCTTGTTTCTTGCTCTCTTCTCAAATGCAGATTTATGTAAATCCAATAATTTATCTTTTGTGCATAGAATTTAATGGAAAGAATGGAGAAGAACGGGACGGAAACGATTGATTAAACGAATGATTAAATGTAATGTAAATACAGACTGAAAACCATTTTTGCATTTTCTGAAAGAAGTTTATACAGAAAACTAAGAGTGAAAAAATAACAATAAAAAATAAAGAAAAAATTGTAAATTATACAGAATGGACAAGTAAGAACAGAAAATATTCTTAAGCGCAGAGTTTATGGCATCTGAAAAAAATAATCCAGATAAATGATCAACAGGCGAAGATAAATAGCTACAGATAGATATAAACAAATAAATGATTGATTGATTTATTTTTTACAGATTATCAACCTATTGCAGGTAATTTAAAGCTAGAAAAGATTTTTAGATTTTGGGGAGATAATAATGTTTTGCTGATACAAGTCGTACTAATTAACACATAGCTGGGAGGAAAAAGGTGGATTCCTACGTTTTCCCAAGGGTATTTGCATGTAAGTGAATATAACAAAGCTGGCTGGAATTGGAACTTGACTCTTTGATTTCCAATTTTGAGCCATTATCCATTACACCACCCAGACATCCAAGCTTACAGCACCTGGTATTCCCAAGCAATCACTACCATCTAGGTACTGAGGGCTTGATGTTGCTTAACATTGATGATAGTACAAGAACTGGTGTTTTTTTACATGATAAAGAAAAACACAGTGTCAGAATGATAGACTGATTGGAAAATAGGCCTTTCTTTTCATAAAATATAAAATGGATAAATTATCATTATCATCATATTTCCTCCATATGTCTTGGTTGCATGCCAATGTCTGAGTCTCTGTGAATGATTTTCTAGGCTCCTTGGTGGCATTGTCAAACCCATATTTTTCTCTGTCTGTCTCCTCTTCTCTTTTGTCAGGTAGTACCTTGTTGGTTGGCAGTGGAAAGATTGTTGGATCTTATGATGTGTTCATACCATTTCAACTTTCACTTCTTGATGGTAGATGTGGGGCCTTCCAAAGAACTTGTTTCTTGTCTTGTTTGGTTGTTATAAGAGAGTATTGGCTGAGTCAATAATGAATTCAGCTTGATTTTCCCCAATGACTTTTATTCTACAAAAACTCTAGTCATATCTAAACTCTCATATGGATGTCATGCATGGCACCCAACTTGTCAAAACAACAAAATTAAACTCCATATGGTAAAAAGCAACAGACAAGAATTATACAAAATGTATCCCAATTCTATCAATATGGCTAACATTATTTTCTAATTACACTAATATTTTTCTCATTTTCAATATTTAACAATATAAAACTATATATATATATATATATATATATATATATATACAATATAAAAACAATATATATATACATATACGATATACAACAATATATATACATATATACAATATACAACTATATATACATATATATATATATATACACACACAATATACAACAATATATATATATATATGCAATATACAACAATATATATATATACAATATACAACTATATATATATATACACACAATAACAATAATATATATATATATATATATATATATATATATATGCAATATACAACAATATATATATATATGCAATATACAACAATATATATATATGCAATATACAATATATATATATATATGCAATATACAAATAATATATATATATACAACAATATATATATATGCAATATACAACAATATATATATGCAATATACAACAATATATATATATATATATATATATATATATATATATGCAATATACAACAATATATATATGCAATATACAACAATATATATATATATATATATATATATGCAATATACAACAATATATATATATATATACAATATATATATATATATATATATATATATATATATGCAATATATATATATATATATATATATAATATACAACAATATATATATATATATATATATATATATATATATATATATAATAATATATATATATAATATACAATATATATATATATACAATATAAAATATATATATATGTATATATATATAATATACAATATATATATATGTATATATATAATATACAACTATATATATATATATATATTTATTGTATACAATGTATACAATATACAACTATATATATATATACAATATATATATATATATATATATATATATATATATATATATATATATATATATACAACTATATATATATATATATATATATATAATATACAACTATATATATATATATATAAATATATATATTTATTGTATACAATGTATACAATATACAACTATATATATATATGTACAATATATACTATATATATATATATATATATGTATGTATGTATATATACAATATACAACTATACATATGTATGAATATATACAATATACAATAATATACAACCTTGAGTACCTAAACTTACCTTGAAACATATTTTAGTTTAAAAATTGCAAAATTTAAGGTTTAAACCATGAAATTTTACTTTGACATAGAACTAATGTTATGATGAAGGTTTTTATTCATCTATTCATTGATTCAATTGCTTTGTGAATGGCTTTTACTTTGCACCAAGATGAACACTCATCAACAGTTATAAGGTGAGGAAAATATAATCTGCATACCCTGTATACCTATTTCTTGCAGCACAGGCAAATTTTTTATCTATAAGTCATGTAACTATTACCAGATTTTTGATCTGCAAATTTCATTGTATAATGTCTGATTCGGGTGATTAATATTCACCACTGAATGAAGTGCATTTACAAAGGAAGAGATTATGTTGAAAAACAATTGGGCATAAGTGGTATTTTCATCATTTGAGTACAGGCGGTCAAGCAGCTCAGTTACTGGGAACTGACAGCCCAGACACCAGCACATATGATTTGATTATAGTGGTGAAGGCTTTGTGCAGAACTATCCACACATTTTGAAGGGTCGAATACAGAGACCTGGTGCACTACGTGCCACAGAATCTCCAAACAACCTTCCGCAGGTTTTGAATTCAGAGTTGTCCTTCTCCTAGACCGGTTGCCATCCAAAGCTATAGAACCCAGTCTGTCCTGCCATAGCTGGAGGGAGAAGAAGGTGGATTCATACCTTTCCCAACAGTATTAGCACGTAAGTGAATGTAATGGATTCAACTGGAATTCGAACTCGGCTCTCCAATTCCTCAGTTCAAGCCGCTACTCCACCGTGCCTCCTGATTGACAAAATATTACATAGAAATTACACTGTTTGCTAACTTTCTAGATATGCTTGTAATATTTGTTATATATATATATATATATATATATATATATATATATATATATATATATATAAACCACTGGCATGAGTGAAGATTAATAAATTGTACCTGTGATAAGATTAGAAATGGGGAGAAGCCAACTTTCCAAAGTAGAATGGCATTAACCCACATTCTCCTGGTGTCAGTTGTCCTGGATATGACGATAAACTACATTCAGCAGCAAAACCTGTGATCAGGAGATTAGAGGTTTTGAGGAATGTAATACCACCTCTTGATTGTAGTTGTTCCCAGGTCCACCCTAACCCAAGGGTTAGGGTGGACCTGGGAATTTAGGGTCCCAGCTATAGGAAAATAGTGACTCCCCAAACAAGACAAAACACTATGAAAGTATAAAAATACATTTTTGTAGTAGAAGTGCCAGCAATACATTTTTATATACAGAAATTACAAACAATACTTTTTTTTTAATAGTAGAATGACCAATGATAGATAATTGTCTGTTGTTGAAGGCATCCAATTGTGTTCAAAATATTTAGATTTCAGCATTAAATAACCCATAGAGGTTGATATGTCGTTGAACAAAATCAACCAACCTGGAGTCAGTTTAAACTGATGGTGTCTTCTTTTTCAGATAGAAATTTGAAAATTTGTTAACATATTTCTGTGCAATTTTCACTTTCCAAAATTATGCTTTATAATTATATTTTAGCTATCTGAAAAAAAAGAAGGTGCCAGTCTAAGCTCATACTAGGAGGAAATGGGTTAATTACTTT